CATATGAAAAACTAAAACCGGAATCTGTATTAATGGAGCAGCTGATGGATTTTCGCGTATGGTCATAAGGCTGCATGCTTACTCCACAAGTAGTAATCCCAGGGTTATAAATGGCTACTTTATTAAGTGGAAAACAGGAGCGGAACTCCAACACATATCAGGTCACACCTGGATACAGAGAACTATTCAGTGGAACAGATACAGATATTTTTAAGAAGAAATCATGAAGGCCAGTTTTCTGAGAGATGCTTCATTACTGGCTCAAGTAATCATAACCAAATATATAGATATGATCTACTTATTATGATATCTTCTCTCATAATTACGAGATAGGATCTCATAATTATAAGATCAGTATCTCGTAATCATAAGATCTGATCTCGTAATTATGAGATAAGATAATATCTCAGATTCTGGTAATATCTCATAATTACGAGATACTGATCTCGTAATTATGAGATAAGCTGTATGATTTTATTGTCATTTTGTATTATCTGAGTGTATACAAAATGAAATTTCATTTTGAACAGTTCTCTATAGACATTTACATTTTTTAAAGTGCAGCAGTGATCAAATGTAAACAATAGGAGTGGGACAGGAGAACTCATTGTATCATTGTATGTACCGTATAGTTTAGAGGCAACTGAATACATTTCGGCAGGGCATCTTGATGCCTATCAGGAAAAAAATGTAAATGCATGACAGCTGTATTTCAATATATTAATAGTTAATAATCATTTTTAAACTGTGGTATATTTTGACACAAGAAACTAAGCGATACTTACTCACCTACTGTGCTATGGCTCATAAACATTACAAACGTGCAGAGCACAGTGTAATCTTAACTGTAGGTAAGTAATGTTGGGCATGATTGTGTCAATCATAAGGTCATTGAACACAGTGATTCAGAATCAGTTGGTTCTACATCAGACCGATATCTGTGTAAAAAGAAATTTAAGCCACTTTAGGGCTGGGCAATATGGCCAAAACTTATATGATGATATATTTCTTAATTTCAATTGATATAATTTCACAATCAATATTAACAAAATAAAAGACTCAGAAAAAAAAAAACATTACACAAACTCACAGATGCCCTTACAAAATTATGACAATTATTTTGTCAGGTTTAAAAAACCTTCAACAGTAAAACACTTCAGAAATATCTGCTTTAATAAACAAAGCAAATTAAACCTGAAAGATCAGTCATAGCAAATGCTGTGATCATAGTCTACAAAGCTTAGAAATGTTAATTATTTGTTATAGAATACAATACTACATCTATATATAAATGTAAAATAATTTTTCAACCCTACTTCTGCATTTGCATTTCATTTTGATGGAATAAGCTCAATCGTCTTTAATATGTGACAAAAACCAACAATTTAAGAAGACTGAAATTATCCAACCTGAGTGAAATTCAAAATGTTTTTATACTGCTGATATAGATTTAAAATGAACTTTAAGAAACAACAAAGTTTGTTTTTAAATCAGCCATATAAATAGTTGATTTTGAAAAAAATCTATACTTGACTTGAAAAACTATTTTGCATGCTTCTACTGGTGTTCCTGACTATACAGCACATTTTTGGTAATAAGATCAAAATCATGAATTTGACAGGGCCAGTCCAAAAAGGCAATATTAGTATCAGAAGTCAGAAGGAAAAAAGTTTTCTAACTGATAAATTAATAAACTGGGATCATTCATTTCTAGTGTATCCTCTTTGCAAACAATGGCCTAAGCTTTAGCAGACAGATGGGGAAATATCAGGATCATTCTACTAGAACAACCTTATATTTAGGTTAATCCAAACTTAAGCTAATGTCTAATGTTAAATGAGATCAAACAAATGTTTATATATTATGATTAAAACAATTTATGAAGAGCTCTATTAAAACGATTTGGAACATAAAAGGGCTGGTCATGATTTAGAGATCCACTAAATTTCAGGGACAATGATGTTGCAGAAATAAAAACAAAGCCCACAGTCTCACTAACTGAATTCCTCCTCCTTCATTTTTCACATTGTTATCTGCTGTCATTAACTTAATGAATCCGGACCCGTCTTATCAACCTTTTAAACATTTCTAAGCGATAACAGAAAAAACAGCTAGTCTCAAGGGCAGCAGTTTTTTTTTCTTCCAAGTGAAGTAAATTAGTTTTTGCCACCACAAACCTCTAATCCTGAAGTGTAATAAGCATGATTAAAAATAAAAATACAATTAAATGTTCCCAATCGGCTTTGAAAATGGTTTTACAACAGTGTTACAAATTGTTTTGCGTTTTCACTTCCAAATCATCCTGGGTTAGGACCAGAAATCAGCTGCAGGGAGAATATAAAAATTTCATTTTAAGAATTAGCTGGAGTTAAATATTGCCAAATATATTTCTGTAGAAGTTTATTGCCTATAGCCTATAAAACAAGCTAAACATGAACTGCAAGTTACTTGCACTGTATTTCAATAAGTTTTTCTCTGGAGTACAAATACCTTTAACAAATGAGCTCAGTACTAAGGAGCTAAAATATTTTTTACCAATCCATTCTAGATGAGTTTCATTTATGCCAAAAAGTAAAATATGAGATAAGCTGTAGTAATTATAGTAATGAGTGGCTATGTCATAAAACCAGTCAGTAATTGGCCCTCTGTTGTTCTCTTTCGATCCTTTTAAGTGGTATTGATTAGTTATCCAAAAGACCAGATGATTGAGAGCGTCATATAAAATAATGTTATCAATTTTCTGAACAGAAGAAAACGCTTAACCAGCTGTTGATTCTTAACACCAGATTCAACCTTGCAATGAACATTGTAGGGGTGGGGGATGGGGGGTTCTTTGGATTTTAATAATTTGTAAAAATCCAAACAACAATTTGTAAGAAATTATGAAAGAGATGTAGCATGCAAATTCCAATCATTTGTACTTGTTCAGAGGCAGACACAAGTTGAGCAAGTATTCTGCATAGAAAGTCTGTAGTCTGCATCCTAATCATTGGTGATTACCATTTAAAACTGCAGCAAAGCAATGCTACATATAAGCAAAGACATTGTGCATATTAACACCAAATGATGTAAACATCCTAGTAAAGCATTACATCTAGATTTTAGTGTAAATATGCTTTAACCAGTTTACCATTGCAAGCCCACTCCAACAGTTGACAGTTGAAGCACAGAGAGGGACATCACTATTTCAGGTGCAATTAACATTGTTTGTAGAATTAGGCTAAAGTTATGTTGACACACTCAAAATGAAATAACAGTCCGACACAGTTAAAAAAAACACCTGTGCTGATATCAGCAGAGGGACCATCAGCAAGCACCAGGAATAAACTAATCATTTAACAAATTCAGCTCTTCCTCAAAGTGTCTCTCATAAATTAATGAACTAACAAAATAACGCCTGTGTCTAAATGTGATTGTTAAATATATCTGAATTGAAATGTTTCAATTGCAAAGCTAAATTTCTTTACAAGTAGGTGAATATCAGTAAGAGAGTCATCACCTGAAATCTGATTTTTTTTATGCTAAAAGTGTGCTGATGCTGGGCTTCAGTTAAAACCTACCAGAACAACCCGAGTGTGAACTGGCCTGTTTTTTTTTTTCTTTTTTTGTGTGTGTGTGTGGACTCTTTTTCAAACCAGAAAAATCCACAAGAGCACGATTTTGGTACTTCTCTGTTATTAATGGCATTCGTGGAAGGATGCTAACGCTAGGCTGCCATTATCTAGCTAACGATTGATTCCAACAATCAGAAACTCCCCTGCAGGCAGTCGGTAAGTGTTACTGCTGCTGTAACTTTTTACCTATTGTGCAAAAGACTGGCAAACGATGGTGAAAGAACCATGGCAAACTGCTTATGTTGCTAACGCTAGATCTATATAAGTCAATTTGTTGTTGGTACCCTTAATTTATTTATTTTTTCCACCAAAAAATTAATAATAACATAACTTTAAAGACATTTTCCAAAGGACTGTTAAATTAAAATACCACCTTATGACTCCTTTAAGAATGTTTATTTAATGATATGATATCTCATAGCAACATAATATCTGTCAAGTGGTTCTGTTTTTCGATAAAGAAATTCAAGTCAAACAATAATCACTTTTTATTTAAACTTGTTTTTTTTTAACACACTTTAAACTCTTCTGTCTTTAAAGACAAATTATTTTGGTTATATTTTTGCATTTTGCAAGCCTGCTGTTCTAAATATTTGTACACAAAGATTCTTAATACCATTCACACTTTGAACAGGAGAATGAAAGAACAGCAGAATGTTCTCATTTTTGTTGCTCAAAACAGCATGAATCTCAATTCATTAATATTAATGAAAACTCCAACACGTTTCAGTAGTAGCTCTAAGTAAATGCTGCTGTCAAACAGGAAATGTGTCGCGCTGCCTAACTTAATTTGAAGCACTGGGTCTAATTAGCAGTGGGGAGTCAAAAACGATGCACCTGAGTGAGACGTGTGTGCCGGGAAAAGAAACAGGACTCTGGCGGCTTCATCAAAGTGTTGATTGTGTTTACATTTTTCAGCTCCTTAGAGAATCCTGCAAGAACTAAACTGCTCCCCTCAATATGTTGTCACCTCCACACAAATGAGTAAAAAAACAAAACAAGTTATTCTGTCTTTGTAGGAGGTAAGCTCTCACTGGATAACATGTTCACGCTCAGTAAGCTGCTGTCATATGGTCCACTAGGCATTAAATGTAAATCGTATTCCATCATTCCTCTCTGTCACCAAGATAAACTTACTCTCACACGTAGAGAAAAGTCTCGAAGTGTGTGCCTGAAACATCATTCTATAATGTTGCTCTGTGGGAAGGTTTCTGTCAGAGTCACAACACCCCTGAGACTGTTAGGTGCTTTATCTCTGCAAAGCAAACTTTTCTAAGATGCTCCCTATACATCTACAATCGGAAGCCACATACAGCAGGTTTGGCCTTTAAATGACCTTCAGCAATAAATGAAAACAACTAAATTCTTGACATGACCTATATATACCTGTTCTGGAAAGTGTTGAGCCCTGCAGGGACACACTGCACCCGCCACTGCCCGTTCTGGTCTGGGTAAAGGACAAACTTGATGGGAGTCTCCACGTTGAGCTCTTTCTCTAGTGTAAACAAATGTTCCTTCCAGGGACAGCCACCCTCAGAAAACAGTAGCACCTCCCCGCTGGGATCAACCTGGAAACAACAAAGAGGGGAAACTTCCACTGGTTATTTTTATTTTTCTTCTTCCAAACCTACCGCAGACTGTTTGCAACCTAGAGCCATCCAAGAAACGAGAAAAACTCTTGGCAGAAGACTTAAATGAACCATCTGTTTTTACAGTCTGTTTCTGGCTAGCTTCGACCAATCAGATCAACGAAGTGGAACCAATTAAAATAAAAAAATCAAACTCTTTACCTAAATTGACAAGAGAGGAGTGAAAGCATCTTCGCCATCAGGCAGAAAACTTCAGTTCGATTATTTTTTTGCTTTTCTCTTTAAAAGCGTTTTCACACTGGGGTATAATTGGAACTCTAACAGCGTCTGCCTCCGTGCCACGGTGACTGAAGCTGCACTCAAACAAGCATCCCCACACAGAACCGACGTGATTGATCAGGCCAGCATTTGTTTAGTCATCATCAATTTGACACTGATACTTTTAGTGGCCATCATTTTTAGGAATTTAACTTTTTTATCTGGCAGAGGCAGCTGAGTTCTGCATCAATCAGGAGGGGGTTTCCTCTTTAAAACATTGGACCAAGAAAACACTTGATAGTGTGCAGTATAGTGCAGGGGATGTCAATATTGAAAAGAAACATATCTAACTATTAGATATGGATAGAAATGATTAGAGAGATCTTCTATTCCATTGAATGAGCTAAAAACATTCTAGGCATGTGCAAATGTGCAACAGAAGCAGATCAGCGTTCCCTTTTTTTAAATCATACTAATAACTAAATAAGGCCTATTTTGTTTAGTGTTCTAATTTTGGAGATTTTGATTGTTTTTAACTTCAAATGCTGAAACAGGTTTCTTTTTATTTATTTTTGTTATTCTGAATTTGGCCATTTAAACACAGATTTTTCATACTTTAAAATGTTGGCCATTGATTCACATCTTATCTAAATCCTAAGGAGCTGAAGCCCACTAACAGACATAGGAAATATTGAATGTCACCCCTTATGCCAAATCAGTTACAAAACTTAATAGTTTATTATTTTAAAAACATACATTATCTAGATCATAATTAACAGCAAGCATGAGCTTAATAAAAGCCTTACATACTCATTCTTTTTATAAAACTACACCTAGATGCTGTGTAATATGTGTTCACAGTCCTGTTACCTGATGTCGTTCTTTGATTGCCTGTTCAACAACTGCTCGAGCTGGCAGCCAGGAGGACTTGTAGTAATCCAGGCGGTCCAGGAACTCATCACCAACCATCTTCATGGCTTTTCTGAAACCCTCCTTGTAATAAAATGCAAAACGATTAGTTTGCAATCAAAGCTCCTTGGTTCACTGTGTAATGAATACTATGCATTTATTTAAATCACATTGTCATAAACAAGCAGCGATAAAAGGAGCAGAAATATTTTTTTTAGCATCAGATAAAGGAGCATTTTGTTTTACTAATTGCCCAATGTAGAACTTGGAGAAAAGACAATATCATGCATTTCAAATATTACCATTACATATTGTGATGACTATAATGGTTGCAAATAATCCCACACATTCATGTTTATTCTTCAGTTTCATCATCACTCAACTATTCACTCTAACATCTTGATCACTGAAAGCAACAATAGGTTTAAAGCACAATGACAATGAAAGTCCACCCAAGCGGCTGCATGTTACCGCATAACTTAGGATATTTAATGCTATAACAGATATAGTACTAAGAAGCCCTTTGCACTTGATAAAGTGAAGATAAAAAGTATAACTTCTGTACAGTCTTTTTTAGGCGGCCGGCTGTATGGCTATGACTTCATAACACAGCATATTACAGTACCAAAAATACACACACACACTGCTCCTTAAAGAAAAACAAAATGTCAAAAAATAAAATAGGTATCTTTAGGACAACAGGTACATTAACAGGTGTGATTTTCAAATCGCACTGCACCACTCGCAGCATTTGATCAAATTTGACTATTTCTTTATATTCAAAACATTATAACTTTTAGCCGCTATGGGGCGCTAGACTTGCAACTTCCAGGTTTGTTGCCTCTGAAAGCAACTGGCAACACTGCACTGTTGCAAAATCAAACCGCCTTCTGTCATATTCTGGAATTTGAAACTGAACCACTTTGGACCAGCTGACTGAGCAGTCATGGATTTACTCTGGGAAGGATACACAGAAGATGCTTTAAGAGATCCTATGAAGAGTTCTGCTAAAGTGCTCCAACCCTAACCTGGCAGCATATTCTGACAGTCTGATAACCGTTTTCCTAAGATAAAATTCTAGGTGATAAATGCTTCAAAGAGGCAAAAGAAAAGGGCTTAACATTGTTTATGGTCCACCACCAGAAAATCGTCATTTACTATAATATGCATAGTTGAGTCCTGTTTTAAAGAAAGACTGAAGGTCTGGAAAGTTATGATTGCTTGAAAGTCTTTTCTTTGCTCTTTTGGAAGAGGTTGAACGATTTTAACAAGAAAGGACCATTTCAACCTGTAATTATTTTGATCTGCAGAACTACCTGCTTCATACGGTGAGAGTCTGATGGGAGATTCCAAATAAAAATGTTCTTTTTCTACAGAGAAAGACTGAATTAAAAAAATAAGATTTTTGTGATTTAAGATTAAAAGAGAAAAAGCAAAACTGCTCATTCACATTTAAATTTTACTCAATCTATAACTTTCACAACCACATGGTACCTACACAATTAATACATAATAGTAATACTACTTATACTATTTATAATACATAAATAGTATAAAATCTCCAAAAGGATATAACCTTAAAACACACAAACGCTCACAGCTTGTTACTGTGTGGCAGGCAGAGGGCTAATCTGTATGCATCTGAATGAGTAGTCTGCAGCAGCAGCAGGTTTTAGCTGTCATGGATGGAGGACATAAACATCCATTAAGTTTTTCAATTATAACAAAACAGGAACTGCTAAGATCTCACAGGTAAATCTCCCGTGAATCTGTCTGGGTTTTCCAGTGGCTCCGGAGGATCAGTCGGTGTGAAAATTGGACAAAAGTACCCAGACAAAAAATAATAATTGTGTGAGCTGAACTGTAAAAAAAAAAAAACAAACAAAAAAAACAAATAGGCCAACTGGTCCTGTGAGAGTCCTTAACATGGAAAAGAAATACATTGGAGAAGTCAACATATTTCCAAGGCAGCAAATTTCTCATGAGAGTTTCCTGAAATCAGCTGCTGATTCCCTAAAGACATTCCCAGCCTGCATTAATGAGACACAAAACTGACACTGGGTCGTTGTCTGTCGGGTTCTGTTGAGCTTCAAAATGAACCTTCTGGAAACTAATTGCTTTGCACCAGCTTTCTCAGTCACAAACACTTTTAACCCATTTAGGATTTTTTTCAAGACGGCTTGTTCATTATATGTCATTATAATTAAGTCAGATTTATAGAAACCATGTGGGTTCAAAAGCTTTATATCTATATCAAAGCAGATCAGAAGGTGGCTTCATGACGTTTTATGAAGACAAGAGGATTTATTCCTCAATCATAATGGACACTAAGGCTATTTTGTCAATATGCAGAAGCATGACATGATTACTTAAATATTAACGCTAAATGTTGTTTTTTTTTTATAAGAAATGCTTCTTAACTAACAAACAAATGCTCATCAATAAAAAACAAAAAACAAAAACAAAAAAAAACACTTAATGCATGAAAAGCGTTAGATGTTAGGCAATGATTTAATTTAGCATGTATGGATCTATACATATTTAACAGGTGGGTGGGTGGGTGGATGGACAAAAGCATACCTGTACATATACGTATTTATATAATGGCACCTGGGATCAAATCTTAAAATACAGCTATTATTCCATACTTATGATATTCTGAAAGATAACCAAGGTTATACTATTTTTCAAGACTGTTTAAAAGCCCTTTTAATAATAATAGTGCAAATTTTGGATTGAGATTAGGGTATAAGTTCTTTCACATTGCAGGCCTGATTTTCAACAAAAACAAAAAAAGTTAAATTACTTGTGCAGAAACAATACAAAAAGCAGGGGCTGTTGCAGGTGAGCTACAGGTACGAAACAAGTTGGGACTGCCCAGCTTGAGTGGAAAATTGTAGATGCTCCTTGCAGTTAGGGACTGGAAAGAAAATTCACAATTCAATTGCACAAAACAAAAAGTTTAAAGCTTAACTGTGTGTTGAATTTTGCAGCGGAAGGGAATTAACAATTCTACATAAATGTACATCAGAGAACTCTAAACAGTAGGCAGAACCTGTGATGATTTCCATGTCCCTCTATGCGTAGCCCGCACATGCACAGTCACATGTGCTCACCTCAGTATCTTGACTCTTGCTGTTCCAGCGAGGATTCAGATGTGCAACACGTGCACTCAGCGTGGAGGAGACAGCGTAACGAGCCTCCCCGTCGTACTGTGAGATGCCGTTGTCTATAGCATCCACCTCCTCCACAAAGTTCTCATACAGCTGTGAGCATGTGAAAAAGACAAGTGACACTTTTTTAAATCACTTAACTTGTATTACTAATGGAAAACAAAAAAGGGTTTAAATGAGAAAGAAACTTTATAAGATGACTCCATTGTAAAGACATAAAAATGCTAAACAAATTAGATAAAAGTAGGATAAAAAGCGACTCATGGAATCTGATTTAGAGCAAAAATTCAAATCCTCAATACAGCAGAAGGTCATTCAAAGAGCTGACATTTTCCAAGAGGCTTACATACGTGACAAAGCTCTGCAGCAGAAATAGACCTTCGGTTTGTCTAAACAGGCTGAGGAAAAGACATGAAACACACTAAAATAAATAAAGCCTTAGCTATGTGTAAAAGGATTATGTATGGCTTTAAATAACAGAGGCACATCAAACAAACCAAGATGATATGAATTAAAAGCACCAATATTTATGTTGACCTAAGTTTAAGCAGCCTGGCACCCTGAGTGCTGCCAGCTGAGTGTTTCTGCTGGCCAAGATTTCACAGAGTAAATTAAATTGTTTAAATACTCATCATTCCTTACTGATTATAATTGAAAGCATGTCGATGGCTTCATATTAAACAGTAACAAGCGGGACATTTTGCAATTCTTGCAGCAGCATTCCCTTTTTAGTTTTCATTTCTTAATTATGAAAAGCATAACAATTTTGATTACTTTCTATTTTCTGCTGTCTGAGCAAATGGCTCTCCCATCTAGTCAGCTCTTTGTCATCACAGCCTTTTATTTTATGGTGGCTGACGTACTACGTTCAGTTAAACAAATCAGTTACTAAACACACCAAAGGAAAAGGCTTTTCTAACTGTTAGCATAGTAAACAAAACACAATCAGTAGCGATCATCTGGCAGCCATAAATCTGTTATCCTTCTGGTCTCACCTTGTCATAGAGCATCTCCAGCTGCCTGTCGCTCTCGTTCATCTGCGTCAGCTGAGCCAGCAGGCGACGGCCGAAGTGCAGATAGACCAGACCGGCAGAGCTAAGCTTGGTCACCCACGGCCTCTCTGGACACAGACTCTGGAAGCTGTCTTTGAAAGTCCTGAACGGAGAGAGGAACACTTGTAAGCTAACGGTAGCATAATCAAATGTTTGTGTCTATCACCATGATACTCTTCTGCACAAAGAGGGAGAAATATTAATTTACAGAGAAATGTTTTCTTAGCCTTAGTTTTTCCCAGTAAAATTATTTATAACAGTTTTAGAAATAACATTCTCTGTAAGATGGACACAGAGCGTTTTTTTTTTGTCATAATTTCCAGTTAAGATGCTACCGCCTTTTTTTATTTTAGCAAAAGAGTTTTATTGTGAAAGCCCTTTCACAATCATGTATTTTCATATCTATCATAAATAAGTTATGTCAACTTACTGAAAGACACAAAATATTGTTAATCTTTTTCTTATATCTCTAACTTATATCTCTAACTTATATCCCTAACCCTAACCCTAACCCTAGCATTAATTGAGCCTTACATTGTTTATGCCTGATTCTAATTTTAAAATGTAGCTACATCTGATTAAAAAGAAAAGTCAGTGAAAAATGAATGCGTATCACTCAACAATCAATAGAAAAATGTCTTACTTATAATTACTGACCGGTACTCTGTTTGTTCCTCTTGTATTCTTATCATTCATCTTTAGAATGCTTTCAGCTAGGACTGACACGACCGAGTCAATCCTGAATCTATTATTTAAATTATTTTCTACTCGTTTATTAAATGATTAACTATTTTTGTGTGCGAATAAGCTCTGTCCAGAACCCCTTAACTTTGATTTAATCAAAAAATATTTAACATATTAATTGATCAAAACAATGGTTAGTTGCAGCCCCAGTTTCAGCTTTCATTTCTAAGGAAATGAAATTAGCACTATAGAGGGCGCATTTGCTCTTATTATATTAAAGGTACATCTGACAACAACTTTTAAATAGCAAAACATGACGTCTTTTAACTGTAAGCTTTACCATAAGATACTTTTAAAGTAAGAAATGTTTAATCTCTGAGGGGTATTACCCACAAAATGAAGTGACTGCAAGAATTTGAGGCAGTTCTCTGAACCCCAATGGAAAAAGCTGAAAACCCTGGATTAGATGTGACAGGAATTAAAGAGGTTGTTGCTCGTATCCAAACAAACTCCATTTTTTAGCGGAAGAAGACAGCATGATTTTATTCATGATTTTGCAAGTTGTTTTCTTTCATCACTGCTCTGAAGGAATCATCATAAATTTATAAACTAAACTATGTACAGACCCCGCAAGCTGTCTGCACTACTTTTATTTACCAAGAGTTTTTAATATGATCTCACTAGAGTCTAATTTATTTGACATTGTTTCATTTTGTTATTTCACACCCAAATGTGGAATCAAAGTCAATCGAATTAAACCATAATTGTATTTGAACACAATATTATACTTAAGGAGAACGGGTCCTGACATTTATACGGGTGCTGCCTTGATAAATGCATTTAACTCTGATGGTATATGACAATTATCCCTGCAGCTCCATAAAATCTGCCCTGACATGCCTTTTCGTAAATAACAAAGCCTTAACCCTGCTCCTGACATCCTTAGACTGTAGTTTGAATTACTGTCTGTGTGATATTTGCACAATCTATTGGAGCAAGCCTGATTCACAGAGCAGGTAAAGCGTAAGATTGGCCTACAGTTTCGATGTAGTGGTTGATGCTTTTCCTGAAAATATAAAACACAAATTGGATAGAATGATGTTTGGATTCCTGTCACATTAAAAATGTTCATCTAAAACATGGGAGAAAATTGCCAATGCTTTGCTGGTTCTTTGCTAAAGCCTAATTTTCCATCATTGCCAGCTTCATGAAGCTGGATGTCTATTGTCATGCTTCTACAATTCCATGTAGCATGCCTGCACACACAGACAGAATGTGTGCACAGCTTAAAGTGAATCTCTTAATGATTAGAGGAATCAGAAACATTAGGTTCCTCAGCTTACAAACATATGCTGTTCAAAACTTTTTTTTCTGCTAAACCTTCTCCAACTTTTTTTCCCTTTAATCTTTCCCTTAAGATTCTGTCTTGGTTGATTTTATACTAACAGGTGCAATGATTTCTATTTGGCTAATATAAAAATATTCTTTGCACTCTGTGTATTTTTTTTCTTTCCTCTTTCCATAGAAAGGCCATAGCTTGGCCAATTAGCCCTTTAATGGCAGTGATTACCCCCCACTCTCCCTAGCATGTCACTCATTCATTTGACGTTGCTCTTTCCGCTGTGCTGTAGCCAAAGCATCCTAATTAAACTTGAATTAAATGACCAGCAGAGGCTCACTGCTGGAACCCACCCAACTCTGCACGTGTCTGAAGGGAGACCTGCGGCGCATGTCTGCGCTCACGCTTAGAGACATGCCTTTGGGGGAGGGGGGGCACCAAATCAGTTTGGGGATTTATTTTCCAGCATAAAGGCAACAAACATGCAACTTTTATGATAAATATAATGCATAGGATGAAATAATTGCATTAATAAATATTCTCTACAGCTGTCATTTTGCTACAGATGGCTGCAATCAGATTTTTTTTTTTTTTTTACAATTTGATTGTTTAAAGCTTCCGTTAAATAACATCAGCTATAGTGTAAAATAATTTTGGTGCAAGACCACCTAAATATAATTGCTATTATAATCACTTTTACCAGCATTTCTTGGAGTAATCCTCTTTTGTATAGTTTGATCACTGTTAATTAAATTCATCCCACCCATCTACATTTAAGATTTCAGATTTCTTTGCTGCTTGATTCTTAGTGCAGAGGTTCAAACATTAGACTTTGCAATATGGTGTTCGAGGACAACTCTGTTCCTCCCAAACAAGCTCGAGTTGTCAGCCCGCCGCCACTGTAGTTTACGGTACAGCTGGTATGAGGTGTTTGTGCCGTGTTGTTGCCATGTTCAGTTTTCTCCAAACATTGCTCTGAGCACCTTAGCCTAGCAGCTCCAATTTATTTTTATCTGCCCTAAGGACATTGTTAGAAAGTCTCATGGTTTCTGTAATTGCACTTTGCAAACTTATATAATGCTGCCAGGCTTCTTTTTTTTTCCATGAGCATTTTCTCTCCCTTGAAGCCATACATGCCTTATATCTTAAGTCTTCATTTTTGCATTCCTGCATTTCCTCTAAGCTAAACATGCTTTGACATTGTGGCAAACTTAATAGATCAGCCCCTTCTAGAATTATTGGCAACTCTATGAATATATTCCACTTAAGAATCTTGTTTGTAAAATGGCTGCCTCCAAATATTTGGAAATGGCCTTATAGCCCTTTTTCCAGGGTTCCGCTGCATGTGAAACTGGCAGAAAAACAGTGTGCCACATTTTCTGCTAGACACCGTATTTCATCGGGAGCATAACTATGAATTGTCAGACCCAGAGCATGAAAGGGTTCCATCATAGTGCTTTAGTAATGTACTTGTGGGCTTGAAATAGAAATAACAAACCAGTACTACCAGTGTCTTGTCTGCTCGAAAACTTAATTGCAAAGCTTATCTTATTGGCTGATAAAATGTTTCAATCAAAATTCGATCGGTCACTGATTTTGGAGTTCCAGCTCATTTCTGGAGACCGCAGAGATGCATGTGCCTTGGAAGGTGTTTCTTATATGTAGGCCGTTTTATGCCAGGATGGAAGGTATTTGGAAATGCAGGGAGACAAAATAAAAAGGTAACAAGGGAAAAAGAGAAAGGTCTAATTAGATGACAGATTACAAGTTATTGGTGTTTTTGAAGTATAGGGCTGAAACAATTAGTCGGATCATTTGACTGCTGAAATAATCGTCAACTAATTAAGTAATCGATTAATTGTTAACTGGAGTAGACAGACTCTAAAATATGTCTTTAGCTGACAGAGCAACCCAGCGGCAATTACCGGTACACCAAAATTGTAAAAAAAAAAAAGAAATTTTTAAATGTTGCTAATAAAATACGTCATTATCCTCATCCAGAACTCCTCAAGTGAAAAGTTTTACTTTCGCCTGGTTTAAGTTAATATAAAGTCTTTAAGGAACCTTTGGCTATTCGATTATTAATCCGTTAATTGAAAAAATAATCGACAGAAATCGATTGCAAAATAATCTTTAGTTGCAGCCCTAGTGAAGTATAGTTGGCTTTAAAATCAAGTTGAGATGGGTTTTGTTTATAAAGATACTTGTTTTTGGATGCGTAACAAAATGTGACATCAAAACAACCCAGGGCCTGGTGGTGGAAGCTAAGGTTAAAGGGCTAAGTTCATATGAGGTCTTGACCTCACTGGTTCCTACATGGCTAATAATCCCAAAAAAAAGACAAGGGCTGGGTAATTAATTGCATTAGCTGTATAATCATAATTTATGATAAAAAAAAATTTGCAAATCACGGCGGTACTCAACTTTAATCACATTCCATTTGACAAGTGTAAGACACCAAATACACTTACTACACTTACAGTGGCGTTTCTGCCACACAGAAGGTTGACAAGCAACCTTTGAAGGTCATGAAAAAAAAAATGAAAGTCTGGAGTGAAAAATCTAAACCTTGATAAAGCATGATGGAAGCATGTTTACACTATGCAATGCTGTTAAAACTAACATGTCATTGGTAACATTAGCTTATGCTGGCAGACTACCTTCCAAAGTCGATAATGTTAGCATTCTAGTTGAAGTTGACTAACTGAAGAGTTGCCTGAAGCTAATTGGACCAATACCAAAAGAGGAGATTGCTACAGAGCTTTCATCTATTTTCTAACTGCAGATTTGCTGTAGAATTCAGAATAATGCAATTGACTTATCTAGGCTTGTCCCGATCCGATCCACATATCGGATCGGACGCCGATATGGGCAAAAAAATGCGTATCGGCAAAGCATATAACAAATGCCGATCCAGACTGCCGATCCAGTTTTAAAAAAAAAATCTGGTCCGTATTCCAGTATACGGCAGTTTCCTGAAACGGCCGTATTTCCAGTTTCACCGATTGAAATGATCCATTCCACTATTTTGCGCCAGTGTTCCCCGAATCCGGTCCGCATTTTCCAGAACACCTTCAACACAACCACGGGTCTTTTTGGGTCTGTCTCCCGGCCTAACCATTAAAACAGGTGAATTGGAAGATAGCGGGGAAAATGTCAGCCGTGTTGGATTATTTTATCCTGCACGATGTGTAGATGGAGACTAGGTGTGGAGGAGATTGGGGAGTATAAGGCATTTTTGTGTAATAGTTCACTATTATTTGCACTGATTTTTTTTAAGCAGTGTCTTTTTTCAAGAGTAGAGTCCTGATTCTAAGTTAATAGAATATTTTCCATATTCTGTTTTGCATTTTTATTAAAACTTACAGTAATACTTGCACCTTTAACTGTTTACGGTTTTACTGTTCACTGTGCAATTTCAGATTGCTATTCATAATTTTGTCCAGTTTGTGTTTATCTCTTAATAAACAGGAAAGTTTGTTGTTACCAATCATTGTGTTTTATTCAATCGCACCTAATTCAGTTGGCTAGATGTTATCAAGTGTACTAAAACCCTTTTCAACATGAGTCTTACAACTAAGGCTTAATACTTTAACTTAAACTTAAATACATGCCCGAATAGGCTGGTATCGGCCAGTATCGGTATCGGATCGGAAGTCCAAAAACAATATCGGTATCGGATCGGAAGTGCAAAAACCTGGATCGGGACATCTCTAGACTTATCTTATTCCATAAGTTGTTTTTATCCACTTCTTTTATTTCCCTTTCTTTAATGTGTTCTTCATTCTCTAGAAATGATATCTAAACAAAAAACACTGACATCAATTTATCACTTGGAAGCAACACAAGTCAGTTTATCTTAGCTTTGCCCAACATAGTGGCTCAAACAGCAAAGCAAGAATTGACTGGGACTAAATTGGCTGCGAGTGATTACACTTTAGTCAACAAACTACCTTCTTCTTTCAGTTGCCCCTTTTAAGGCTTTCCAGAGCAGATTATTGCCTCCATCTCATCCAATCCTTAGAATCCTCTTCCATCACCCAATTGCTCTTAATATCTTCCTTCGCTACTCCTATAATCCTTATCTTTTCCTTTTCCACTGCTAGCTCCATATCAAACATTTCTCCAATATATCCACTATCCTTCCGCCACAGCTGGTTTGTCTTTCAATCTCTGAATCTATCCATTCCACTGATTCACTCGATCTTGCTATTAAAATATACAGAATAATAATTATCGTATGACACAGCTTTTTAAAGGCTTGGTGTCTGCTTTTCTATTGATGCAGCTGTCAGGTTCATCTGTCTAATTGCCCCTTTCCAGCTCTTTACTCAAGCATTCGGCCCAGTTATATCCTTTTTTGCCATTACAATTATCATCAGCATATGCAAGTGACAACCGCATTCTGCTGTGGCCCCTGACTGAGTCGTAGCAGCCCTGAGCCTCGTGAACTAACAGCAGGGGGTTCGATTGAAGGAGCGCTAATTAGCACAAACCGCTGGAGAGCAAGAGATCTCTGACATGCGTTTATCAGTATATAGGCCTAAAAGCAGTCTGATTCAGATCAGGACAATAAGTTAGCAAAACAGCTGGAACCGGCTTTTTTACCCACACCTACAAGACTTTCAGTGAAAAAGAGATTGTCCCTTCATGAATCGTATAGAGACAGACTAATTCAATATTTCAGAAAAGAAACTAAAGGAGGGGTAACACTGACAACATCCTTAATCTTCATTATTTTAATATATAAATATCGCTATAATAAAAAACCCTAGAATGATAAAATATGTGGGGGCTGGAGAACCCTGTGCAATAAATGAGATTAATTACAGCCCCTGGCTTAAAGATAAGGCACATCAACATGGAAGGTGTCGGATAGTAATAACTAAAGACCAGACATGAAACTGGCCAATATTTTACACCTAATCAAGAAAAACAGCCTTGGTGGGAAATCTTGCTGTTAATCTGATTAATTAGCATCAGATATCGAGGACATTATCAATGTTATTCATATTAAAGTGGAATCCAGTGGAAACGTGCCCCAATTTCAATATTTTCTAATCTTGAATGAAGCCACCAATAGGTTAGGACTTTAACTGAGCATTTGGCGTTAATGCCTTAGTAAGCAGCCCTCAACACTTAAGGACTGTGTATACTGTCACAAGTATGACGCAGATATTTTTGATTTATGCCTAATTTTGAAGCATGGTCTGCACCATGTTATTCCACCCCCTCGAGACAAGAGGGACAATAACAAACTACGTAGGATTGTTGGTGCCCGCGTGTCGGTCTGACGAACTTGTTTGCCTTCTACAACCCCTCATCCAATGCAGGACAACACAGTTCACCCATGTGAGTGTTCCCGTGCTGTGTGTTCTGTGCTGCACATTTCTCCCTCTTCAACCAAAGATAGAGTACGCTATTAACACAGGGATATTAGCCATACAGAGAGAGAGCAAGGAGATGTTTGAGTATTGCCCAATACAGATATTAATCTGCTTCTATATCAGCAGGAATAATAAAAGGGATTTATCTCAAACAGCGAATAATAGTAAACAAAAATAATTATAAAAACAACCGAGTCATTTATTCTATATTTAGGGCGATACATTCTACTATTTGTTTTTTTTTTTTTTTTTATTTTGGACTGGTGTCTGATATCATCACTGGATCAGGAAATCCCTAAACACAATGATCACTGAAACAGATTCTAGTTCCTTTAGCAATATGGGCCCGTACCTGGTTCTGTTGGAAAAATTAAATCACAATCTTCTATAATGAAGGAAGCAAGGAGGGCTCTAAAATGTCCTGGTAGACAGAAGCTGTGGACACAACTTCAGAAAACGCATAGGAGGCATAAACCATCACTGACTGTGGAAACTTCCCTATGGCCCTACGGCAATGTAGATCATGTACCTCTCCACTCTTCCTCCAGACTCTGGGACCTTTATTTACGACTGAAATAAAAATTACCTTCATTTAAATAGATGATTATTTTTTACCATTGAGCAGTAGCCCAAAGGCCTATATCTTTATAACTCAGGTAAGAATGTGACGTGTAGGATTTGTTTGTGCTTAGTGGCTCTTAATGCACTGACTCTATCCTCAGCCCACCTCTTGTGAACCCTCTTAAATTCGTGTGTGGATTTTGCTTGATAACCCTTGGGTGCAGTCCAAGCTTACATCCATCATGGACAACACCTTTGACCCTCTGTACCAGACTGCAGAGGAGCTGAGCAGCTCCTTTAGTGAAAGACTTTTACACCCTGATTGCAAAAAGAAGCGCTACCGCAGGTCAATCATTCCTGCTGCAACCAGACTCTAAAATATGACACTACAACAGCAATAACTTGTGCAATGTATAATGGGAAATTACTATTCGATACCCTGCGCAATAACCTGATTCTCTATATCTGACACTCAGCGCAATATCTATATATATGTATGAATAAAAATATCTATCTATATAAATCCCATATAAACATCCTGTGCAATAACCCTGTGTTGCCCTCTCATCAACACGAAATGACCATTTAGAGGCTCAGGGACACATTCAATATTGTGAGACACTGAATTTTGGCTTTTCATATATGTAATTTATAATCATCAAATTTATATAAAAAAAAAGAAAAAAGGAAAGTTTTTTAATTTTCTGAAACTCTTCAAGATATTGTAATTTTCTTACATGCACCTCTAAACTGATATACAAAAGGCATGTTCATGTTTACAACGTGATTTGTTACCAGCTACCAAGTGAAATGAGATGGTACCTCTGATGATGGTCATAGCGATGCCTTTTGGAGTCGAATTCTCCTCCCACGTCAACAACGATGTCACATTCTGCCAATAGCGCTGCATCTCTAGTCCGAACTATTTCAGCATCCTGAAAAAGGATCACAATCAATCATAAATATTACTGTGAGGAATTGCTGTAGAGCTAGCAACAAAATGGAGGCAAATGTCTACTGTAACCAAATGCTCATCCAGGAGGAGCAAATCCTGCAAAGTCAAAGACTCGATGCAATCAGCTGGTTTTCCTTAGATAGAAAACTTTTTACCACTCTGGCTGTATATGATTGAATTGTCTCTATAAAGTACCTTGAGATGATATATTGTGAATTTGCACTAAATAAATAAATTGAATTGAAATTAAACATCTTATTGGGGGGCATTAGAAATGCATAAGATTTATCAAAAAGTTTTAAAATTCTGTGACCCTAATTGGCTGCAGTTTGTCAAAATAGAAGTTTACATTATGACGGTAAAACAAGTCATTATATGATACTTTAAGTTAGCACAAAGCAAAAAAGAAAATATAACATCTGACCAACATTTGAGAAAAAAATTACAGAACGGATCCTCACAGTAAAAATTATTATTTTTGTGGAACAGCCGTAATCGATAAAATGAAGAATGAAAAACGATGATTGAATTAAAAAAAGATAAAAACTACAATGTTAGGGATCTATGATAGTTAATGCATGGATATAATTATGATATTGCATTAAGATATTGAATTAGCTGTATAATACTTGAAATACTTTTTTTATTTATTTATTTATTTATTTATTTCAGACATACAAGTATATAGTGAAGACAGTATATGTCCATATAACATAAATTAAAACAGTCTGAAAAGGATGTATTGGCAGAAGCAAGAAGCTTATAATTCCCACCCTCCAAAGGCAATTTACATTGGACTAGAAAGCAAAAGAAAGAAAAAAAAAAAGATTAAAAGATTTTATAATACATACCAACATACGATTTTAGGAAATATTATTATACAAAAACAACATTTTTTAGGAAAAAGAAAGAAAGAAACAAAAAAGGTAACACACCCAATATCTTACTGCTCTTAATTTTATTCACGTTTCATTTTTTTTTTATCGTATTATTCTTAAATATGTTTTTAAACCTTGTTAATGTTGTACAATCTTTTAGCTCCTGATTTAATTAGTTCCATACATCAACCCCAACAAAAGTACAATGTTGTTTTACATTTGTTCTTGCTTTTGGTTTTCTGAACATTTTATACCCTCTGATATCATAAGCGCCGTCCCTGATCAAAAACAGACCTTGAATATGTACTGGCAACTATTTATCTTTTACTTTGTACATACATTTAGCAGTCTTAAAGTCAACCAAATCCTCAAATTTTAATGTTTTTAAAATCTGCTGTATTTATAATTAAACTTTTAAATGTAATTACAGCAAATGTTGATAATTGAGAAAAGATTAATTAAAATACTGTTACAGAACTGATGCTGAATTGTTGTAAAATGAATTAAAGGGCAGATTTCATAAGACCGGTCTGTCTGCTCCTTTTCATAGAAGATGCATTGATTAAGTAAGTTGAATGATATTAAATCAAATTCTACTTGGTTTCTGCAGAATTATACCAAGTTAAAAAAATTATTTTCAGCACTAAGTTCACATATGTTATATGGAGAGCAACTGGCTGAGAAGTTTTAATGATAAACGAGGAAAAGAGTGCTGAGGAAAACATAGTGCAGTAGTGTGATCAACTGGGAAATAAGAATAACGGTACAGCTTATTTTTTTGTTAATTCTGAAATAAAAACGTCCCTGAATATATTGTACAACCTCATTTAAGTACAAATAGATAACACATTGTTAGATTCTCAAATACTTGGATTTCAAACGTAAAGAATATTTAATTTTATACCAAACTCCGAGTACATGACTATTTTGTAAAATCACAGCGCCATCTTGTGCTGCATCGAAGTAAACACAAAACGCAACGAATAAAATACTTAAAAAGAAAAAACGGGAATTAAAGTCCGATTTCTTTACAGATTTTGTCCGAACCTACCGCGTACTCCGGTAATTGGCGAAGAAAGAAGCAGGCCAATACTTCGTCGCAGTGGAAGGATCCATTGTGAGTTCCGATCTTCTTAATCGTCATGTTTTCGGTGCGGATTCTCTTCGGTTCAGTTGACATAAATTCTGCAGCAGAAATATTCACAGAGCCAAAACGACACCAGCTAGACAGAAAACCCAACCTCGTTGATCGACGCAAACCTTTTGTATTTGCTACCGAGTAGGAAGTTTTTGTTATTTTAAGTGCAGCAACTCGTATAAACCACATTCATGTAACTGCACAAGACGAGCGCTATTGGCGGGTACATTTAGCTGCCGGACCGGATGTGACGTCCCTCTTACGTCACATATCAAATGAAGCTGTTACTCCTACTTGTCTACATTTATGATTGGCTAATTTAATATTAAAGCTGATAGCACTTTAGATAAAACCAGTAGAAATATTATACTTTTCCTTTTTTGAAAAAATAGGTATTGTAATTACAAGTATTGTAATTATAATTTTAAGTATTAGCAGCAGATGGCGCTAAAGACTCTGGTTACCCATTAGTGATTCGGAGGGCAACTAAACAAAAATGAATAAAGCTTAATTCTATGTTACTTTATGTTTATGTGTTCATTTCTTAAACATAAAATAAACATACATGTTAACAATATATGTATTCATACATAAATACATATATGGTATACAAATACAATATTTCCCGGGCATCTTCTTTTTTCAGGGATGAGCATCGAAAACAACTACGGTAATCAAATAAACTAATACATCAAACTATTTGTGAAATAACATTAGATGCAATTCTATTGGTTATTGGTTTTGAAAAGGTGAAAATGTATCTTGTTTCAGCAGGAATACCATAAAAGCTTTAAATTGTCAAAAGAATGTATGTTTTTTGTGTTTGTAGGTGTAAATTGTAAAATATAACTGATTAAATGCTGTTTTCAATCTTTTTTGTTATGAAAATGAAAATTAAGTCCTATTCCAAATCATGCTTTTGTAGGGTTTTCAAGGTTAACAAGACCCCTATATTAGACAGTCATAGAAAGGGTGTCTTTT